ATGCTGAGGCTGAGGCAGGCTGAGGCTGAGGCTGAGGCAGGCTGATGCTGAGGCAGGCTGAGGCTGAGGCAGTGCTGAGGCTGAGCTGTGCTGCGGACTGCCGTTGCCGCTGCGACTGTCATCGCGAATGCGACTACGACTGCGAGAACAGCAGACTCTACAACTGATTTTTACCTCACAGCTTGTTTCTGATAGGTTTCTAGTGGGTCAAAAGAGAGCAGCAGATGACTCCACAGGGGGGTCTGGGCGGGTGCTGGACAGGGTGCCGCAGAAGTCGTTTTAAGCAAACAGTCACACACTTCGTGCTCTTCGACCTCCCAGAACTCCATTCCCGGGCCACATTCTGAATGCCCGGAGCAAACTGTAGGCCACTTCGTGCTCTTCGACTTCCCAGAACTCCATTCCCGGGCCACATTTTGAATGCCCGGAGCCAACTGTAGGCCACTTCGTGGTCTTCGGGTCCCCAGAACTCCATTCCCGGGCCACATTTTGAATGCCCGGAGCCAACTGTAGGCCACTTCGTGCTCTTCGATTTCCCAGAACTCCATTCCCGGGCTACCTTTTATGCCCGTAGCACTCTAGGCACTTCCGTGCTCTTTCGGTTCCCAGAATTCCAGTCCGGGGCCAGCTTTTGGATGCCCGTAGCGACTGTAGGCCACTTCGTGGTCTTCGAGTTCCCAGAACTCCGTTCCTGGGCATGATTTTGAATGCCCGGAGCCAACTGTAGGCCACTTCGTGTTCTTCGAGTTCCCAGAACTCCACTCCCGGGCCACATTTTGAATGCTGAGGCAGGCTGAGGCTGAGGCTGAGGCAGGCTGATGCTGAGGCAGGCTGAGGCTGAGGCTGAGGCTGATGCAGGCTGACGCTGAGGCAGCCTGAGGCTGACGCCGAGGCTGAAGGCAGACTGAGGCTGAGGCTGAAGCAGGCTGAGGCTGAGGCTGAGGCAGGCTGAGGCTGAGGCAGGCTGAGGCTGAGGCTGAGGCAGGCTGAGGCTGAGCTGTGACTGCGACTGCCGTTGCCGCTGCGACTGTCATCGCGAATGCGACTACGACTGCGAGAACAGCAGAATTCTACAACTGGATTTTCATCTGAATCTTCAGGGGAATGCTTTCAGATATGCTTCAACACATCGCTGTTAGTGCTTTGCGCTGTATAATGCATGCTAATCTTAAGGGGATGCTTTCAGATATGCTCTTATACACATCGCTGTAGGTTGCTTTGCCGATTAAACCTACAGCTTGTTCTTGATAGGTTTCTAGTGGTGTCAAAAGAGAGCAGCAGATGACTCCACAGGGGGTCTGGGCGGGTGCCGGACAGGGTGCCGCAGAAGTCGTTTTAAGCCAACAGTCACACACTTCGTGCTCTTCGACCTCCCAGAACTCCATTCCCGGGCCACATTCTGAATGCCCGGAGCCAACTGTAGGCCACTTCGTGCTCTTCGAGTTCCCATAACTCCATTCCCGGGCCACATTCTGGAGGGCCGGATGCAACAGTCACACACTTCGTGCTCTTCGAGTTCCCAGAATTCCATTCCCGGGCCACATTTTGGATGCCCGGAGCCAACTGTAGGCCACTTCGTGCTCTTCGAGTTCCCAGAACTCCATTCCCGGGCCACATTTTGAATGCCCGGAGCCAACTGTAAGCCACTTCGTGCTCTTCGAGTTCCCAGAACTCCATTCCCGGGCCGCATTTTGAATGCCCGTAGCCAACTGTAGGCAACTTCGTGCTCTTCGACTTCCCAGAACTCCCATTCCTGGGCCACATTTTCAGCAGGGGCAAGAGCACGACGAGGAGGAGGACGAGCAAGACCAGGAGGACGAGGACGAGCAGGAGCAGGACGAGGAGCAGGAGGAGCAGGAGGAGCAGGACGAGCAGGAGGAGGAGGAGGACGAGCAGGAGGAGGAGTACACCAGGAGGAGGATGACGACCATGAATAGGATGAGGAGGAAGGAGAGGAGGAGGGGGAGGGGGAGGGCTACCAGAGGCGGAGGAGGAGGTGAGGCGGAGGAGGTGAGGAGGAGAATGACGAGGAGGAGGAGGAGGAGGGAGGAGGAGGAGGCGGAGGAGGAGGAGGAGGAGGAGGAGGAGGAGGAGGAGGAGGAGGAGGAGGAGGACGAGGATGAGGAGGAGGAGGGGGGGGGAGAGCACCAGGAGGAGGAGAACGAGGACCACCAGGAGGAGGAGGAGGAGGAGGAGGAGGAGGAGGAGGAGGAGGAGGAGGAGGAGGAGAGAACACCAGGAGGAGGAGGACGAACAAGACGAGGAGGACGAGAACGAGGACGACCAGGAAGAGGAGGAGGAGGAGGAGGAGGAGGAGGAGGAGAAGGGGGAAAAAGGGGAGGAGGAGGAGAAGGAGGAAGAGGAGGAGGAGGACGAGGAGGAGGAGGAGGAGGACGAGGAGGAGGAGGGGGGGGGAGAGCACCAGGAGGAGGAGAACGAGGACCACCAGGAGGAGGAGGAGGAGGAGGAGGAGGAGGAGGAGGAGGAGAGAGCACCAGGAGGAGGAGGACGAGCAAGAGGAGGAGGACGAGAACGAGGACGAGCAGGAGGAAGAGGAGGAGGAGGAGGAGGAGGGGCAGGAGAAAGAGGAGGAGGAGGAGGAGGAGGAGGAGCAGGAGAAAGAGGACGGAGGAGGAGGACGAGCAAGAGGAGGAGGACGAGAACGAGGACGAGCAGGAGGAAGAGGAGGAGGAGGAGGAGGAGGGGCAGGAGAAAGAGGAGGAGGAGGAGGAGGAGGAGGAGCAGGAGAAAGAGGACGAGCAGGAGGAACACGAGGACGAGCAGGAGGAGGAGGAGGAGGACGAGCAGGAGGGGAGGGCGGCCGGCTGCCCCGGCCGGCTGCCCCGGCCGGCTGCCCCGACCGGCCGCGCTTGCGCCCGGCCGCGGAGCGCGGTCAAGGGAAGGGGGCGGGGGCGGGCGGTCAAGGTTGATACCCCCTCCTCGCTCGTTCCACTGCCTGCTCGCAGCAGTGGCACCAGCACATGCACAAGAGATTCCTGCATGAACTGTTGTACTTGCATATCTGATGGCCTTCGGCCAAGGTCGTGCGCACCAGGGCTCTGAGGAAGGCTCCCTGCGCCCTTCTGGGGAGCCCCTCTGGGGAGCCCCTCGGACGAATTATTCGGGCCTTCTGCTCGCCATGTCGGGCCTTCCTGGGGGACAGACACACCGGACGAATTATTCGGGTCTTCTGCTCGCCATGTCGGGCCTTCCCGGGGGGCAGACACACAAACATGGGCCTCTCATATGTGCGCGCCGACTTAGGGCGACGCATGTGCCTGGTCCAGCGCGCGCGGTGCCCCCGGGAAGGGTTGCGGTTTTGCCAGATTGTGAGGACGCTTCAGAGCGGAACGCCCCTCCACATCCTTCCTGATCCCTCACTCATTTCAACCCGCGCTCCCTCAGGTGCACACTGCCGGCGCCAGCGCGAAGATAACAAGCACCTGGGGGGCGCCCCGTTCCGCGAATCCCACTGCAGAGCGGGGATCTCGACCCCCCAATGGGATTCGTGGAGCGGGGGGGGGCCTTGAGAGGCCGAAGCATTTTTTGGGGCGGGGGGGGCTGCCCCGTTCCCTCGGATGGGCACAGCCCCCCCCTCGCCGGCCTCCTCTCCTTGATCCCTCCTCCTAACGTAACGCGCCCGCTTTAAGTTAGCGCATATGATACATCGACGTGCTGTTCGACCCAGAGATGCCCTGCACATGGCTGTTAGGTTGCTTTGCCGGGATAATTTTTACCTAACAGCTCTTGCTGATAGGTTTCTAGTGGTCTCAAAAGAGAGCATCATGACTCCTCAGGGGGGTCTGGGCGGGACCCGGGGAGGCTGCCGCCGAAGCCGAAATCGCTTGGGACATCCTCGCAAAATCGCTCTTGGTGCTCCCAGAACTCCATTCCCAGGCCACATTTTGGATGCCCGGAGCCAACTGTAGGCCACTTCGTGCTCTTCGACTTCCCAGAACTCCATTCCCGGGCCACATTTTGGATGCCCGGAGCCAACTGTAGGCCACTTCGTGCTCTTCGATTTCCCAGAACTCCATTCCCGGGCCACATTTTGGATGCCCGGAGCCAACTGTAGGCCACTTCGTGCTCTTCACTTCCCAGAACTCCATTCCTGGGCATGATTTTGAATGCCCGGAGCCAACTGTAGGCCACTTCGTGCTCTTCTAGTTCCCAGAACTCCATTCCTGGGCACATTTTGAATGCTGAGGAGGCTGATGGCGGCCGAGGCATGAGGCTGAGGCAGGCTGAGGCTGAGGCGAGGCTGAAGGCAGACTGAGGCTGAGGCTGAAGCAGGCTGAGGCTGAGGCTGAGGCAGGCTGAGGCTGAGGCTGAGGCAGGCTGATGCTGAGGCAGGCTGAGGCTGAGGCTGAGGCTGAGGCTGATGCAGGCTGAGGCTGAGGCAGGCTGAGGCTGAGGCCGAGGCTGAAGGCAGACTGAGGCTGAGGCTGAAGCAGGCTGAGGCTGAGGCTGAGGCAGGCTGAGGCTGAGGCAGGCTGAGGCTGAGGCTGAGGCAGGCTGAGGCTGAGGCTGTGACTGCGACTGCCGTTGCCGCTGCGACTGTCATCGCGAATGCGACTACGACTGCGAGAACAGCAGAATTCTACAACTGGATTTTCATCTGAATCTTAAGGGGAATGCTTTCATATATGCTTCTACACATCGCTTTTAGGTTGCTTTGCCGGGATAATCTTTGAGTTTTTGCGGGCCTCGGCTCCCTTTGATGTGGCCACCATTCTCTTCGCTGACCCTGCTAGATCGCGCTTTTGCGCCGTTCTCCTCCTCCTCCTCCTCCTCCTCCTCCTCCTCTTCCTCCTCCTCCTCCACCTCCTCCTCCTCCCTTCTCCTCCCTCCTCCTCCTCCTCCTCCTCCTCCTCCTCCTCTCCTCCTCCTCCTTCTCTCTCCTCCTCCTCCTCCTCCTCCTCCTCTCCTCCTCCTCCTCCTCCTCCTCCTCGTCCTCCCTCTCCTCCTCCTCCCCCTCCCCCTCCTATGCTCCTCCTACGCCCCTCCTCTCTTTCCTCATCCTTGTCTGGCTTGGGTTCAGTGGGCTCCACCTCTGCCAGCGGGCTTGCTGGTGGAGCCCGGGCGCACGGCTGTGGCTTGCCAGGTGGTGCCGTGCGGCGGCATGGCCCAGGGCTGCGCACAGACAACCCCCAGAGGTACATCGGCGTCACCCCAACATACTTATACTATATGTTCGTCGCCCCCCCAGGAGCGCCGCGCGCACCGAGAAATCTTATAGTATATGCGTCGTGGCGGGCGCTTTCTGGCCACACCGCTCGGGACACGATATGCTACAAGATGGGTGTACTATATGTTCGTGTCGGACGCGCGCCTCCGAGGAGGACATCTAGTATTAGTATGTCTTTGTGCGTCCCAGTACATGGTCCCAGATGGCTTCAGCAGCCCCCCCAAGACTTCGAGCAGTGGATCGACTACAGAGTTGATCTGGCCCAGATGTGGTTTTTGGCGAGCCCATGACAAAAAAAACGACGTCTACCTTGTAGATTCGACGAAGCAATCACTGTTTGGGTCGGTCAGCTCTGCAGTCGATCCTCTATACTCGAGGACTCCGAGGCAGGAAGAAATCCCCGCCTCGCAGAGGCAGCCCAGAGCGGTCTCGACCCCCCGACCTGGGCGTTGCCGCCGGAGGCGTCGCCCGGGTGCTGGGGCCTTCCCCGGGTTTCGCTACCGTCGTCGAGGCTGGCTGGGGCCGCCTTCGGGAAGGGCTGCCCGCGCGCGGCCCCATCCCAGGCCGTGGTTGGGCGTTGACCAGGCCATCCCAGGCCATCCAGGCTTGTTTCATCCACCACGCACAACCCCCTGGGCTCCCAGCGCGTTGGTTCTCCAGGCGGTGGAAATGGATAAATCCTCGCCTTGCACCACCACCCCCTGGGTGTCGCGCGGCCCCCTTCGTGCGCACCGTCGAGATCGATTCAAGGCCGCCCAGACGCAGCCAGGAACATACATACCCTCAGATCCAGGCGGTCGCTCGGTTGGGCGTCGTTGGGAGGAGACGGGTCCCTCTCGGAGTGGCCCGAGGTGTCGCTTCGTCTCGGGCGGCTCGTGGATTGGGCACGGTCCGGATCGGGGCGTCGCCGAGGCGAGGCTTGTGGGCGCCCGTTGTCTCCGACAGTTGCTGCGCCAGCGCGAGTTTTCTCTTGAGGATCAGAAGTGGAGGAGGAGGAGGAGGAGGAGGAGGAGGAGGAGGAGGGGGGGGAGGAGGAGGAGGATGAGGAGGATGAGGAGGAGGATGAGCTCGTCCAGGTCAGGGTTAGAGAGCGGGCGCGCGTCGACCAGCGCGCCGCCTGCAGGAGGAGGAGGAGGATAAGCAGGGACAGACAGAGGAGGGTAAAGAGAAGGCTTGGGATGATGATGATGATGATGATGATGATGATGATGATGATGATGATGATGATGATGATGATGATGATGATGATGATGATGATGATGATGATGATGATGATGATGATGATGATGATGATGATGATGATGATGATGATGCTGATGATGATGATGATGATGATGATGATGATGATGAAGATGCGGAGGGGAGCCTCTGTGGAAGAGGAGGGAAAGGATGAGGAAGAATAGGAAGAGGATGAGGATGAGGATGAGCAGGAGGGGATGGAGTATGCGCCTGGGGCGGAGGGAGTGAAGCGGGCGGGAAAGGCGACTCGGAAGAAGGGATCGAGGATGCCTGGAGGGCGGAGGATGATATTGAGGGTGGTGATGTTGACGATTCTGATGGCGAGGATGACGTCGACGACGACGACGTCGACGGAAACGAAGATGGCGAAGGTGATGACGCCGTCGATGACGGTTGTGACACTGATGGCGATGCTGGTGATTGTGACGATGTTGATGTTGCTGATGCTGATGCTGCTGCTGCTGATGATGCTGCTGCTGCTGATGACGATGATGGTAGTGATGATGATGTTGATGATTACGATGATGCTGCTGATGATGCTGCTGCTGATGATGATGATGATGATGATGATGATGAGGATGATGATGATGATTATTATGATGATGATGATGATGATGATGATGATGATGATGATGATGATGATGATGATGATGGCGTTGATTATGTTGATGATGACAACGAGGATGAGGATGTGGAGGCAGAGGAGGAGGAAGAGAAGGGGAGGGAGGAGGAGGAGGAGGAGGTCCACTGCAAACCCAAGACTCATCAACGATGTTGCATCAAACCCTCCTTCCAAGCTGCCTCTTCATAGGTCTCTACAAGGGTTCATTCTCACTCAAAGAGATGCCCCGTTGGAAGACAACGTCTGAAAATCCTGAGCCGTGTCAGACCATCATTCCTGGGACTTCATCGCCGTGAATCAAGGTTACTCGTGCCAGAATAGTACTTCTGATATTCCAACACCGCGGAGTAACGTAACCGCTTCGCCCTGACAATCCTACATCGTGCCAAGACACAGTTTCTTGGACGTCTATCATGATGAGCCTTGTAACAGCTGCACACTCTAAAAACGAATGTGCGCGGTGCTAATGCGAGAGCCACACCTTGAAGATGTACCGCCCTCCATCCGTGAAACTGTTGCACATTTGTAGGACGAATGTGCGCGCCGCTCAGGCGATAACCACATTTCGAAAACGGCCCGCCCTCCATCCGTGAAACTGTTGCAGACTTGTCAGACGGATGTGCGCGGCGCTAAGGCGCGAGCCACAGTTTGAAAACGGCCTCTCCATCCGTGAAACTGTTGCAAATTACCAGCTTAAGGATCATACGTGATGAGGGAGTCTTAGGCGAAACGCCCGGCCCGCCCTACCGACATGCCTCGGGGTGCTACAGGGAGGAGGATGAGGAGGAGGAGGCGGAGGAGGAGGAGGAGAAGGATGATGAGGAGGAGGAGGAGGAGGAGGAGGAGGAGGAGGAGGAGGAGGGAGGAGGAGGAGGAGGAGGAGGAGGAGGAGGAGGAGGAGGAGGAGGAGGAGGAGGAGGAGGAGGTAGACAGAACGGGAGGGACGACCGAGAAGGAGGAGGAGGAGGAGGTGGAGGAGGAGGAAGAGAAGGAGAACGCAGAAAAGGGATGAAGGATCGTCGGGAGGGGAGCCCGTGGGAAAGCTCTACGGCAAAGTCGAACCCATGCACTTCAAAGAATCCAGTGGCCTTCGGCCCATCCCACCACCGTGCCTGGGTTGCAGGTCAGAGGCCTCCTGGATGCCATGGCGGGACAGGGCGAAGGCGGCGGTGAGGGGCTGGAGCCCTACACGCTGCTGCTGTCTCCGGCGGGCTCGGGAGGCCGAGGTCGGCTTGGCTTGGGCATGGAGGACGTGCGGGTGTCCTACGGGCCGCAGCACGCGCGCCAGCCGCACCCTGACCTCGACGTGCTCATCGACCAGCGATGGGAGGAGGCCTGCGCGGCCAACCCGCGCCTCTTCGCGGGGCCCAAGTTCCGGCTCCGGCGGATCGCGTGGGCCGACGGGGGCTCCTCCGTGGAGCTGGACCTCGGGCCGACCACGTACAAGGAGTACCTGGGCACGAACAGGCTCGCCGCCGAGGAGCGGCTGCGGCTGGAGCGGGACGGCGAGCGCGACTGCGGCGACCGCGCAGCGCACCTCTCCAACGCCCTCGGCTGCGAGGCGCTGCTGATCACCGCCGACGACCAGGTGGTGCTCCTCCGGCGCAGCGGCGCCGTGGCGACCCACTCGGGCCTTTGGAACGGCCCCAGCGGGCACCCGGAGCCCGAGCGCGCGGTCCCCGAGCGCGCGGGCGCCGAGCGCGCTGGCGGGGCTGGCGCCGCCGAGCCCTCGGAGGAGGCGGAGAGGCTCGTGCTGCGGGAGCTCTTCGACTCCGTGCTGCAGGAGGTGGAGGAGGAGACCAACGTGCCGAGGGGCTGCCTCGGGCCGCCGCTGCTGATCGGCTGCATGGCGGACGGCACGGGCAAGCCGGACGTGCTCTTCCTCGTGCGGACCTCCCTGGACGCGGCGGCCGTGCGGTCGCAGTTCGAGAAGGGCGCGGCCGAGGGCTGGGAGTCCGACCGCATCGCCTTCCGCCCTGCCGCGTCCCTGGCTGCCGAGCTGTGCGGCGGCCCGCTGCGGCTGACCGCCGTCACGCGAGCGGCGTGGGCCTGCCTGCTGGAGCTGCGCCGGGCGGCCGCAGGGGAGGGGGCGGGCGCGTAGGCAGCGCGGAGGCACGGTCGCGGGCGCTGGCGGTCAAGCCGGGCTTGTCTCTCTATACAGGAGGGATCTCCAGAGATAGTCAAACAATAGTTAGGGGACGATTTTTGACTACTCCTGAGCATGTTCTGGCTATTCTCAACTTTTCGCCCCAAATCCGACCGTAGGGGGACATGCCCGACCTGAGCTTGCGGGCGAGAAGTCGGGGGACAGAGCGTGCCACGAGCGTGAGCCGTCGGAGCTCCGCGCGGATCTGTTGGGTCGGAGCTGGGGTCCCGCTCTCCGGCGCGCGGACCGCGCCAGGGAGCGGCGCTGGAGGTGCCGCCAGGGTGGCCCAGCACCGGCCCAAGAAATCCAATCCGCACGGACCTCCGGATGTTCACGTTCGTGTCGTGAGTTTCAGGCGAGCGCAAACATGGATCAAGGGGGGCGTGGATTAGCGACGGGCTCCGTTTCCATGGGGAATCGCGGATGTCCGCCGCCGAACGAGGCGGCACCGGCCGCATTTTGGGGAGGGCACCTCCCCCGATCCATGGATTTGGCGACCACCGCGCGTCAAGTCCATGGATCGCTAATCCATGTTTGCGCACCCGATTCATGTCTTTAGTTGTTCCACTTGAATAGGGAAGAGAGGCCTCCTGGATGCCCGCGGGGTCTCTTGGGGGGGCCTTTCGGACGCCTCTCGGAGACAGTTTTGGGCCACCTCGGGGGCCTCTCTCTTGGGGGGATCCTTTGTGTCTCTTTTTGGCCTCTTGGGGCCTCTTGGGGGAATTTGGCGGCCTCGGGAGTCATCTCGGCGCGGACGGCTCGAAGCGCAAGTTCGAAATCCCCGTCTTTTGGGCCTGTCTTGGGGCTCTCTTGGGGCCCTCTCGGGCCATCTTGGGGGCCTCTTGGGCCGTTTTGATGGCTGGCCTCCGAGGGCGCCTGGCCTGCCCCTCGCACGCGGAGTCCAGCAGGTCTTCTCCCTCCCCTCCCGCTCCTCTTCCTCGGGCGCTCTGACAGCACGGGCCCCTATGGGTCGAGCATCTTTACCCCCCGCGGGATCGAGGCCAGCCGTTTCCAGGCGCTCCTCTTCCCCCCCCTCCCCCTCCTCCTCCTCCTCCTCCTCCTCCTCCTCCTCCTCCTCCTCCTCTCCTCCTCCTCCTCCTCCTCCTCCTCCTCCTCCTCCTCCTCCTCCTCCTCCTCCTCCCCCCCCTCTTCCTCCTCCTCCTCCTCCTCCTCGGCCTCGGCCTCCCGCTCTTTGTCTGCCTCATTCCCCCTGCGGGTGTCTTTCCAAGAAGGTCAGGCCCACGTCGAGCTCGCTTGTCTCGGTCCGAAGAGGCGCCGGGAGCGGCGGAGGGAGGCGGATGCGAACGGAGAAAGGGGAGCGGGAGAGGGCGATGGCGAGAGGGAAGGTTGGAGTGGAGAGGGAGGGAGGTGAGGGAGGCATGGAGGGGCAGGGAGGAGGCAGGGAGGGGGGCAGGCAGAAGGGGTGCGAGGGAGAGGGACCTCACCGCCTTGCTGGCGCATGCTCCGTGCCCTTGCGGGCCCACGGTCTTTTCCCATCTCGTCACGCCTCTCTCTTTTGCCGCTGCGCCAGCCAGGAGTTTTTTTCCCTCCCTTGATGCCTCGCACTTTTTTCCTGCGGTGCAGCAGGCTCGCGCCCCATGTGGCCAACGTAAAAAAAGGGGACAAGAGGCAGAGAGGACAGGTGGGGGGGCAGCGGCAGGGGGCGTGAGGCCGCGCAGGGCGGCCCGCGAGGATGGCAAGTTCGTGCCGTCCACTTACTGCCACCCGCACGTGAAGCCCAAGTACGAGACCGAGGTAGAGGACGAGGCCGGCGTTTGCTCAGCCGGAGGAGGCCCCCAAGAGGCCCTCAAAGCTCCCCTCCAGACGCCCTGAGACTCCTGCCGATCCTCGACGCCGGCCATCACCGAGTGCCAGTTGCATCCCCTGTCCTCGTAGCTGGCTCACAGAGAATTGTACATAGTATACGTAGATTCGTTGCCTCAGTGCTTCGTTGACGGCCTGATGCCATCTTTCTTCCCTTGGTGCAGTTGTTGTCTTCGACGTTGCGACATGTGACGTCTGCGGTGTTCTCATTTCTCGGATGCTGCGTACGCGATAGGACATAGGACCGAGAGGCCCGGAGCGTGCCTCGCGGGGTCCCGAGGCCGTCCAGAGCGCCCAAGGGACGTGCAACGCCCCCCACAGAGCGCTCCACGAGGCCCCATGTGGACCTCGAGTAGGGCCTGGAGGCGTCCAAGACGCATTCGGAGCCGCCCTTGCCGCGCCCCGAGAAGACGTCTGGAGACCCAAATTCGGCAGTTCCCTACGGAAAACCGACGTTTTCACCAGTCGCGCGTTCGGGCCCTCCACTGCGTCTACGATTGCGCACGTGGCGCTCCAGGGATCCCCACGACGGCCCACGGAACCGTCAAGACGGCCCCAAACGGCCTCCCCAGACAGCGTGGGACCGAGGCCTGGAGCGTGCCCAGAGGGGCCCTGAGGCCGTCCAGACCACCCAAGGAAGGTCCCAGATGCCCACAGAGTGTTCCAAGACGCCCCATGTGGACCTCAAGCAGGCCCTGCAGGCTCCCAAGACGCCTCGGGAGATGTCTGAAGCTCAAGAGGCACTCCAAGGAGGAGACTCAACCAAACGAGGTCAGGAGGAAAGGGAGCAGTTCGCAAAGTGGAGCGATACTGAGGAAGAGGAAGAGGAAGCATGAAGGAAGGATACTGTATTTCATGGATGCAACGACGATGCCGGAAACTACAATAAGGAATAAACGATGCATCATGAAGGGCCAAGGTACATGGAGCGAAACGCCCTTGTACATATATATATATATATATATATATATATATATATATATATTTATGTATATACATATATAGATGTGTACAAACATATTGTAACCACATTGTAATTAGATGCGTGTGTATAACTTGAGCGCGCGCGGAGCGCTCACGAGGGTTCAGGCGTATACATATAGGTGTATATACACATAGATATGACTGCGTTCTTACGCGTCATATCAACAACAACTCTCCGAAGGATCGCCCTTCTCATCCTCCTCTCCACTCCTCCGCATCCTCTTCGCTTTCCTCCTCACCCGTCTTCTCCTCGTCCTCGTTGCCGTCGTCCTTGTCACCGTGCTTGTCCTGCTGATGATGCTGCTGTTCCTCGTCCTCTTCCTCCTCCTTCTCCTCCTCCTCCTCCTCCTCTTCCTTCACTCTTTGCCTCGCCCTTTGCTCTTGGTGGGGGAGAGTGCAAGGTCCTCATCGAGGAGCTCGACATGCTGGAAGATAGGCCCCAGGAGGACAAAGGCAAGCTGCTCGCCAAGGACTTAGTGTATGACAACTTCGAGCTTGAGGCGCCTTCGATTCGAATTTTGGGGAACGGACACGGTCATTCACACCGATGTTGGGCGGGACGGGTTGGTGGTTATGGTGGGGGAGCAGGAGAAGGAGAAGGATGACGAGGCGGAGGAGGAGGAAGAGGAGGAGGAGGAGGAGGAGGAGGAGGAGGAGGAGGAGGGACAGGAGGAGGGAGGAGGAGGAGAGATAAGAAGAGGAAGCCGAGGAAAAAGAGGAGGAGGACGAGGATTACGAGGAGGAGACGGAGGAGGAGGACGAGGATTACGAGGAGGAGGAGGAGGAGGAGGAGGAGGAGGAGGAGGAGGAGGAGGAGGAGGAGGAGGAGGAGGAGGCTGCGGAGGATGAGCAGGAGGAGCAGGATGAGGTGGCGGAGGACGAGGAGGAGGATGAGGAGGAGGATGAGGAGGAGGAGGAGGAGTGGAGTGGAGTGGAGTGGAGTGGAGTGGAGTGGAGTGGGCACACCGAAAGCGGACAGGAGCTCCCGTCGCACTCAGCCGCCCGCGATCGCCGCGGGCGAAGCGGCGCGCAAAATGCGCGGCGCAGGCGGGGGCTGACGCGGCGCGCGCCCACAGGCGCAGCGCGGCGGCCCCGCCACGTGCACGAGCCCAGGAATTGGACCACGAACTGGCCCACGGGCTCGAAGAACACGAGGGCTGCAGGCGTCTAGAGCCGATGCGCGCGTCCAGTGTGCGAGGCGGCAAAAGCACGCATAACGCAGCGCAGCTAAAAGCGTTCTATCGATTTCGAGGCCTCACGTAACGACACGCCGCTCTCGGTCGTGCCGCCCCAATGAGCCACCCGAGGGGCACCACTCCCTCGGGGACAACCCACCCCCACGCACGCCACGGCGGGGGACCGTAACCGTGGGAGGAATGGGCGGGGATCCTCCAATGAGCCCCCCGCACAGGGGACCCGCGACACTGCCCGAGCCCTGGCGGAGTACCAGGTGGGCCACCGCAAGGGTGTCGCAGCAACACATTGCATCAGCCCACAACCCAGGCACGGGAATACGGAAGGAACGGCTGTGCATTGGGACTTTGGGCTATCCCCTACCGCCGCACGGGCGAGTCGGGAACAGCCCCGAGGTCCCAGGCACGACGCTTCCCCCGTGGCGCAGGCTGGGACGGCCTACGACTACCTTGTTTCTCTCCCCCAGGGTACCGAAGGAGCACTTGGGGGGACGATCGGGAGGCTACCTGCCTGTTTTCCTGGGGAGGGATCCTAGTGGCACATGTGCCAGGAGGAGGAGGAGGAGGAGGAAGAGGAGGAGGAGGAGGAGGAGGAGGAGAGGAGGAGGAGGAGGAGGAGGAGGAGGAGAGGAGGAGGAGGAGCATGAGGAGGAGGAGGAGGCGGATGAGGAGGATGATGAGGAGGAGGAGGAGGAGGAGGAGGAGGAGGAGGAGGAGGAGGAGGAGGAGGAGGAGGAGGAGGAGGAGGAGAGGAGGGGGAGGAGGGAGGAGGGAGGAGGAGGAGGAGGATGAGGAGGAGGAGCAGGAGGAGGAGGAGGCGGATGAGGAGGAGGAGGAGGAGGAGGAGGAGGAGGAGGAGGAAAAGGAGGAGGAAGAGGAGGAGGCGGAGGCGGAGGCGGAGGAGGAGGCGGAGGAGGAGGAGGAGGAGGGAGGAGGAGGAGGAGGAGGAGGAGGAGGAGGAGGGAGGAGGAGGAGGAGGAGAACGAGGAGGAGGAGGAGCAGATGAGGAGGAGGAGGAGGAGGAGGAGGAGGAGGAGGAGGAGGAGGAGGAGGAGGAGGAGGAGGAGGAGAGGATGAGGAGGAGGAGAGGAGGAGGGAGGAGGAGGGAGGAGGAGGAGAGG